CCTGAGCCCAATGTCAAGGCTGGGGTGAGCTGTGATTGTGCCACTGCACTCCATCCTGGGGCGACAGAATAAGACCCTGACAGGAAGGAAGGGAGGGAGGGAGGAAGAGAGGAAGGAAGGAAGGAAGGAAGGAAGGAAGGATGGAAGGAAGGAAGGAAGGAAGGAAGGAAGGAAGGAAGGAAGGAAGGACGGAAGAGGCAGGGAAGAAAGAAAGAAAACCTTGGAATGCTAACAGCACTCCTAGAAATTATGATCTCCTTGGCCTTAGTATGGAGAGAAAATATATAAATACCCTCATTATTTAGTACTGCTTCTCCCCTCAGTTCTCTGACATCTTCTGCCTCTCTCTCTTTCTCTCTCTCTCTCTCTCTCTGACTAGATGGTCCTGGTGCTGTCCAGGAACCCTTGCAGCTCACAGATGTTCCAGCTGCCATGGAATTCATCGCTGCTGCTGAGGTGGCTGTTATTGGTTTCTTCCAGGTTAGTCAATATACCCTATTTGCTATTCTCTCAAAAGCCAGAAATGTTCTATCTCAAGGAAGCCACAATAGTCACCTGCTGGTCAGGTGACACTGCACTAGAAACGGAGACAGAGTCTGCTTTCAGCTTGTCAGTTGAGACCTCTTAATTTTCTTTTCTTTTTTCTTTTTTTTTTTGTCAGAGTCTCACTCTGTTGCCCAGGTTGGAGTGCAGTGGCACGCTCACAGCCACTGCAGCCTCGATCCACTGGACTCAGGTGATCCTTCTGCCTCAACCTTCCAATTAGCTGGAACTACAGACATGTGCCACTGTGCCTGGTTAATTTTTTGATTTATTGTAGAGATGAGGTCTCACCAAGTTGCCCAGGCTGGTCTCAAACCCCTGGACTCAGGCAATCCCCTCGCGCCTAGCCAGACCTCTTAATTTCAAGATATTCCCAGTCTCTGAATTATGTCTTTCTTATACTTGTTTCAAGAATTCTGACTCTGATGACTGGATGTCCTCATCTATGGATGCTCTGAAGCTTAAGTCAGTATCTGTGGGAAAAACACCTTTATCAAACCCTACCATTGCCCTAAATGCCCTTAGTCTATACTCCTATAGCACCCTATGAATAAGCAGGGGCCAGAGTAGACCCAACTTTCATCATCCAACAACATTTTTCTTGGTGTGCAGAAGCCTCTGGGCATTTGTCAGTAATTACCTCTGTTTAAAGCCTTTCCCCAAATATGCAGGCTCTCATTTTTCTTTTTCTTTGCCTTCTCTGAAATGTTGGGACAAGATGGTATTTTGTATATTGAAGGTGTTACTCTCCTCTTCCAGATTGGCTGCCTGTCTAAAAAAAGGCAGTCATAAATGAGAGGGCATCATTCCAGCATTTTCATCTTTTTCTGGTGGTAGCACCTGGCAGTTCTCCCAGCTGATCAAGCCCCTACTCTCTCACGGCCAACCTTCTTGTCGGTTTCCATTCACTAATTCCAACTCACAGTTACCCTGTCGATTCTGTGTACACAGCTGGAAATAGCTGCAATGAGATACAAGTGGAGGAAGAAGACAAGGGAGTACATTTTTCAGTGATGAGAAACCTGAGCTGCAGACAAAAACAGCCACCCTCAGAAAGACAGGAAGGGGCAAAAGAGCGGGACGGGAGGAGTGTGCAGTGACTTAGCCAGCAGATGCCATCATTTGATCCTTGAACAATTCCACTTGAAAGAGCAGAATAAGAGAAGAAACCTCAATTAATAATCATTCATAGCTTCTAATGAACATCACACACCCTTTCAGAAGAGCAAGGTACCAACTCCCTCAGCTTGAACCCAGATGCGTCAAGCAGAGAGAGTTGGTACCTTGCTCTTCTTTTCTCCCTGCACATCTCCTCCTTCAGCCCAGGGAGATTCAGGAAAAAATGTGTTTGTTCCTGTTAATTTGCCTGCAGCTGCTGTGGAGAAAGGTCCTGTAACAGTAGGGAAAATGATGGATGACCTGGAATCCTCGCTCAGAAGTGACTTCTCTGCTCCCTCCTGCAGGCCTGGGTTGCACAGTTAAATGCCGGAACAGCAGCTTCGTGTGCAAAGCTCAGGAGTGGGACTGTTCTTCCACATCCTACACAAACCTTTCTTAATAAAACTTCTAAGCTTCTATTTTAATTTATTTTATTCTTTTTCTCTTTTGGGGGCCCCTTCGAAAGTATCTATTTCTTATTTTTGCATTTTTTTTCTTTCCTCCACAAACTGTTTCCCAGTTACTCCTCAGGTGTATCAGAAATAACTCAGCCCAGCTCTGCAGACTTTTATGATTTTGAGGCCCCTCTCAGATACTAGTAAACCTCAAGCTCTGTGACAAGCCCTGACAGGAGTCTCAGGCTTAGCTACAGTTTTGATGGATACCTATTAAAACACATAACCTAAAAAATTCAAGAATGCCACTGCAAAGGTAGCCTGCATTCTTAATGGTAAATAATGTTTCACTGAGTGAGCATATTTCTCTTTTATATCCTGTGCCTCTCCCCTCCAAAATAACCTCTGTGGGTTTTTTATCTCTTGTTTTTAGGATTTAGAAATACCAGTAGTTTCTGTATTCCATAGCATCGTGCAAAAATTCCAAGACGTGTCATTTGGAATCAGCACTGATCCTGAGGTTTTGACCCACTATAACATCACTGGGAACACCATTTCCCTCTTTCGTCTGGTAAGTTGGATGGGCAGCTCGAGCCTTCTCCCAGATTTTCATTAAGTTTTGAACTAATAAACTGGTGAGACTGGAAAGGACTTTATGTCTTTGACACTAACGGTGGTGCCAAACTCAAGGACATTGTTGACAATGATGTTGATGACTCAACTCAAGCTTCCCAAACAGGTGCTGTAATGAAATGGAAAGAAAACTAGACTAAGAGCCAGGAAACGGAATTTGTGGTACTGCTTTGTCCCTTACCAGCCATATGACTTTGGACACGTCATTCAACATTTTTTAGCTTCAATTATTTCATTTATAAAATAAAAGAGCTACATTGCATTACCTCTAAGGTCATTCTGAGTTCTAAATTTTTATATTTTTATATCATTAGGAGATATAAAAGTTTGTTAAACATCTCCTATGTTTCTTTTGTAAGATACTGATAGTACAGGCAGTCATAAATTAGAGTGTATCATTCCAGAATTTTCATCTTTCTCTGGTGGTAGCTCCTGGCAGTTCTCCCAGCTGATCAAGCCCCTACTCTCATATTAAATATAATCTCCACTCTCATAGATCTTAAAGTATGGGAGAGATTGTAAGCATAATATTCAAGTATGTATAATACAAGGAGCATCACTATGAGCAAGGTGTTATAAAGGTTCAAAGGATAAAAGTTGTATAGAAATTCTGGGAAAAAAAATAAAGATGACAACAGAACTGGGACTTAAAGGACAGATAAAATGTGAACAGTGTAAAAGAGAATTAATGGCCAAGGGGAGAACAATGTAATCAGGAAACAATGAACAGGTCAATCTTACTCAGTACTGGGGTTCCTTTTGAGGAGGAATTAAAATAAGATAAAGAACATTGATTGGAACCATATTATGGAGAAATTAGAATACCAGTTTAATGAGCTTGTACTTTATTTGGCTGTCACTAGAAAGTTCTTAAAGTCTTTAAATCAGGGGAGCAACATGAATAGTATTGTGTTTTAACAAGATAATTTTCAAAATGAAGAGTAATATGGATTGTTAGGCAAAAAGACAAGAGAAGAGAAAACTTTTGCTAGGCTGATAAAATAGACTGTGTGAGATTATTAATGGTCTATAGTAGAGAGGTAGTAATAGAAACTAAAGAGGAAGATCTTGCAATGATTAGATATCCAAATTATGGAAAGGAGGTGAAGTTTAAAGCCAGGATGTCTAGGAATAGGAATAGTGAGGGCACTTGCAGAAATAGAGATTTCTTTCTTTTTTTTTGAGTTGGAGTCTCACTCTGTTGCCCAGGCTGGAGTGCAGTGGAACACTCACAGCCACCCCAGCGTTGACCTGCTGGGCTCAGACAACCCTTCCACCGCAGCCTACCAAGTAGCTGGAACTGCAGGCACGTGCTACCATGCCCGGTTAATTTTTCAATTTATTGTAGAGATGAGGTCTCACCAAGTTGCCCAGGCTGTTCTCAAACCCATGGGCTCAGGCAATCCCCTCAACTCGGCCTTCTAGAGAGCTGGGATTATAGGCTTGAGCCACTGTACCCAGCCAGAAATAGGGATTTCTAATGCTTTTGCCGGTTACTGGGTTTTACTTGTTGATGGAATGTGAAGGTAAAGATGTTAAGAGTCACAGGAAATGAGAAATTAGGGGGAAAAGACAAGGTTTTCAAGCCTTCTAGACTGAATGTCCTACTCCTGCTAGCTGCCCTCCTTTCTTTCACTTTTCACTCAAACGTCTTTTATGTTTATTTTATACCATGTCTCCAACTTGCTATAAGCTGGACACTGCTATCTAGTTTATGTCCCATCACTCCATTAAAACTACATCTATCTAGGCCAGCATTGTTTCTATATTGCCATACCCAATGATCACTTTTTAGGTCTTATTTTACCCAACATTTCTGCCATATTTGACATTGTTGACTGCTCCTTTGTCTTTAACATTTCCTCTTTCCTTCAATTCTAAAAGCCTATTTCTCCTGATCCTCCTCTTGCAAAAGTCTCTTTAAGATCTTCTCTTCCTGTATCAACACTACTGCCTGATTTAACACTCTTCCTAATCTGGGTTTAAAATTCATGCTCTGTGAAGACAGAGACTGTTCTGTTCATTACCGAATCCACAGAGCCTAGAACAATGCCTGCCATGTAGTAGGTGCTCATTAAATATTTGTTGAGAATGCATATATGAAAGAAACAATGAGGGAATGAGTATTTCTACTTAAGCAATATACTAGTAATTCTTTCACACATTTGACTGTCATATGCTTGTTGAGCATTTGGAATATTTTACCTCTAGCCTGGACCTCTTTCATGATCCAGATGCTTGCTGGATATATATCCTGGATATAACCATTTTTATACCCTTATAATCACTATATTTTTAACATGTTCAAAAAAGAATTTATGTATTGTTTGTGCCTGCTAAGTCACTTTCCTCCATTCTAAAACACTATTTTGTTAAATGGCTATGTTCATTCAGTCTTTAATTTTTTGCCAGTTGTACCTACTTTCTTGAATCTATATTATCTTCCACTCTCTTTTCTCCATTTCTCATTTTGGCTCCTCACATACCTGGCATAAGCAATTTCAATAGCTTTTTAACTAATCTCCTTTTACTACTTTATGTCCAATGTCTACACTGGTATCACAATGATGTATTTAAGATATAAATTTGATTATGGTACTCCACTCTTTAAAACTCATCAATTTTCCCATTTCTTACAAAATCAAAAACAAGATATTTAATAGTACAAATATGAGATTTTATGACTTGGCCACTACCTGCTTCTCTAGTCCTTTTTCAAGCAAGTTTCCTCCTGGGTTTTTACCTTCTCAAAAGCCATTATGATCATCAAGTTCCACAATTTCACCCAGACTATTCCTTCCGTCTAGAATTTTACCACCTGCTTTCATCTAACCTTACCCAGCTACCTCCTCTTCCCACTCTAATGAATCAGTTAAGGAACTCTGTCCTTCAGAAAGTCTCTCTGGAATCCCCAAGTTAACTGAAATATTCCTCTATATTTTCATTTACCATTTTATTGTTCATATCATATATTTATACATCTGTCTATCTCATCTATTACCCCATTAGACCACAAACTATTCAAGGTTGGAAACCATGACTTATCCATCTCTGTATTCTAAAAGTCTGTAATATCTCTCTGGCACCTTGAAGGCATTCAGAAAGTGTTAGGAGGAACTGAACTCACCTCCAAAGTATGTCTAAGGGTGCATGAGTACTTTTTAGCAATCCCTTCCCCATCTGCATAGTAGTTGCTGGTTTGCATTTTCACCATTATAAAATAAGATTAAATCAAGCTTTTCTGTGAAGAACTTTGGTAGGAAAAATATGGAGGACTATGCAAATGCTTTCCATGTTGCCATCGAACCACTGGTAGAAATCCTTCAGTACAAAAATTCTAATCAGCTATGCCTCCACAAAAACTTCTTTCCAAATTTTTTTGTTTCTAGATCTTATAAAGTCCTAATTTAAAAGTATTTGGGCCTGGCTTGGTGGCTCAGCCTGTAATCCCAATACTTTAAGAGGCCGAGGTGAGTGGATTGCCTAAGCCCGCAGGTTCAAGACCAGCCCAGGCACCTTGGCAAGACCTCGTCTCTACAATAAAATAAAAAAATTAGCCGGGTGTGGTAGCACACACCTGTAGTTCCCGCTACTTAAAAGGTTGAGGCAGAAGGATCGCTGGAGCCCAACCGGTCGATGCTGAAGTGGCTGTGAGTGTGCCACTGCACTCCAGCCTGGGCAACAGAGTAAAACTACAATTCACACATACACACAAAATTTTTAATTAAAAAAAAGTATTTGTACTACAAAGGTACACACGTAGAGAAGAAAATAAGTGTTGCTGTTTCCAGCATTTCTACAAACTTGACAACCTCTGGGAGCACTAGCCTTCCTTACAATGTATTCTTTATAAAATCTTTTTGGTGACTTCTCAGGGTTTTTCACTCTTCTTTAGCATCTGTTTTTTGTTTACCACTAGTGACAGACCTACTCTGAATGAACTCTTGGGACCTCTATGGACAAGATGATTTATGTGCCATGCCAAAAAACAAACACATTGGTTCCTGCCCTATTTCACTGGTAGTTTTGAAAGAGGCTCAACTTGTGTCATGCCAGCTTTTAGATAAACATTTTTTTCTTGGCTTACACTTTCAAAAGTTTAGTACATATTTTAATAGAACTATTTTTCAGGAGTTTGGAATAACTTATTTTTGATGGGGAAGAGAACATAAACCATGACTATCCTATTTTACATCGGGAAATGTAAACCTATTGCAAATTTTCTGCTACCTTCTTTCTCCTTAAGTCCATAGTTTGCTCTGTTTTTTGTTTGTTTGTTTGTTTGTTTGCTTTGTTGTTTAGAGTTTAATTTATAATAGGAATGACTACAATGTTCTACCATTTAATTCTCACAAGAATCTGATGAAATTATTATTATTATGCTTGCATTTTCAATTAGAAAATTAAAGTTCCATGAGATCAGTTCAGTTGCTCAAAGTTTCACAGCTATGAAGTAACAGACATCTGATTCTTACCCAGCATTGGTGACCCAAATCATATCCTTTTTAGTATACTATAGTGACTTTCTAAAGCACTTAATTCTTAAAGCAAAACAAAACAAAACAAAAAAAACCTTGATTTTACACTAGATTCTATCTACTCTAAAGCTCCTACTTCTAAATCTGCTATTTTTCTTTTAACCATCTTCTCCTAACCTATTCCTCTCTCTCCCTGCCACTATTTAATCAAAACCCAAGATTATTTCTCAATATTTAATCTAGGCATTATATATTCTGGCAAAGACATTTTAGAATTTAGACTTACAGAATTTTAAGAACATATTTAGACATAAGCTGAAATAATGATTAAGTGAAAAAATGAGTTGATATTCCTCAATGCTTGAAATGTTGGAGCAATAAAAGGCTAGCAAATGTTGTATTTATGCAACACATCATCCTCCAGAAATAGTGCAGGCTGACTATATAACTGTGATCTGTA